AAAACTAGATTGCTGAGGATTGGATCTATTGCTAAAAATACTTTTTTAATTAGAAAAATAAGAAATTTATTCTTATTTTCAAAATTTCTCTCAATACAGAGTATACAATATACAAACAACTCTTGAGATGTTGCAACAAGGCCCTCTGGTATGGTAACGAAGGAAATCATGATTCTCCATTCGCCTTGCTCCTTCGAAGTGATCCCATCTTATCTACTATTTGCTATCTTATTTGCAGATGTTTGTGTCTTCAGTTCTACTATAATATTCCTACTTATGAAATCTTGAAAAGGGACCTAAACTGATTTCAGTTGCTAAAGTTAAGATTTTAGATCTCTATTCTTTTACCTTTAAGCTGATAGGTTTCCTTTTCAACATGTGTTTCAGACTACCATATGATATGTAGCTATGAGTATATACCATATTATAGGCAAGACATCATTAGGTATGATTTTAAAACCCTCCAAGCTATTATTCAAAAAATATCTTCACGTGCATAGCCGATGTTAAAAATGCAACTGGTGCTGCTTTCAGAGTGCTAGCTTATATAAGTGAGGCTTATACATTGAGAAGAAGAGCAACAAATCCACCCACATGTTTGATTCTGAATTAAGAAATTATATCACATTAAGAAATGGTTACTCATTTCTTACTGATATGAGACTGCAGGGCAGAGCCCAGGCAAAGGATAGGAGGGGAGGATCCTTCTCCAAAGTTATTTGTGCAGGCACTTGTACTCTTTAACGGATGCTGGATATGCTTGCAGAGAGATAAAGTAATTTAGACCTCTTCTGGACTAAAACAAGCCAAAGATTAAGAATAGCCAGTGCAAGAGCAGTGCCCTCTATTCACATGGCATCTCTGCAGTCTTGAATATGCAGCTTTGGGTAATTATCTGGTGCCACCATCTTATCTTGCCACTGATCCGCCAATAAGGAGGCAAGGAATTGAAGAAAAAAAAATCAAGATTACTCAATCGTCTCCGCGGGCATGAATGGCAGCTGCTCAGCACTTTTAGCTCCAGACTGTGTTCAGCATCAACCCAGGCAGGGGCCATCTGCTCTCTCCAACTCAGGGTCCCTACTTCTGCTCCTCCACAAATGCCAGCTAGCTCAGTCTGAGGAGGAGTCGTCATTGGAGGGCTTTAAAAGACTAAATTACTGAAATTGAGGAAATTCCTACCCTCTTCTCCGTGGAGCTTCAAACAAGCCATTTATAACCAGCCGTAAAATGTTTGCAGCTGGGGTGCTATATAAGCCATTTGTTTTAGCAATGGCATTCCTGATGCTACAGAGTATGTCCCACACTTGGAAATATACGTTCCCTCAAAATAGCCACACCCGCACAAAGGACTGGCTCTCTTGTTAGGGAGAGAACAAGAAGGAAAACTTCCTGAATTGGATAAAGATGCCTTCAAAGCAACTCACCACCTGCGGAATTGATAGGGGCTCAAGATTCCCTCAGGCAGACAACATGGGCACATCCTTGTAAAACCTTTGTGGTTTTATTTAAATGAATATGAATTCATCTGCTGTGACTTTCTTCAGAAACATTTTTTTTTTCATTCTAGTCTGCAGCCCGCAGATTTCCTGGCGGTCTCCCCTCCAAGTATTATCTAGATCCAACTCTGCTTAGTTTTTCAGGATCACCCAGGATTGGCTGGGTCTCCTATCTCCTGAGGCCTTGTGTTAAAGTTTCCCTCAAGTCAAGCTAACCCCTGGTGATTATGTAGAACATCTACATGGCTTTCTTAGTGAGAATGTGGAAATGTTTTGTCACTGTCACTTTACAGGACTTTTTGATTTACATTTCCTTAGTTGACAGCTCTGCGGTTCCTGGATGGCCCATCCAATTCTTTACACAATCACACCCATGATACTTACATACTATTGTCACAGATTAGCCACTATCCCTCCAGTTCCTCTGAAGCAGAGGTGGTATTCAGCAGGTTCTGAACAGTTCTGGAGAACTGGCAAATACCACCTCTGGCTGGAGATTTCACAGTATCCTTCCCCTACGATGCCCACCAAGCCGCGCCCACGGAACCGCTGGTAAATTTTTTTGAATCCCACCACTGCTCTGAAGCCATTTATTTGACCTGATGTTCTGCAATCAAGTTCTAATGTTTCAAGCAAAATGACCCTATAATGTTCAGTGAAGTTACTAGCCCTCCTTGTATATTTGATTTTATTCAGTTGCTTTACCATTCATACTTAAATTGCAGGACATCATCAATCCAGAAGGAACATATGTAATCAACCCTCTTCAATATATAATAGATACTCTGCCCAAGGGCATATGCTTATTTGCAAGCATATATACTGCCTGTATGTGATTGCTGACCTTCACTAAAGCAGCTACAACTTTCCCGATGGCCGCCACTTCATTGCAAAACAGGGATATTGCAAATGCCAACATTTTGTAAACCTGATAAATAAAAATAAATAAAAGGCGGACAAAACATTGTGCTAGAAATGTGTTCACAAAAATATAAGACCTGAGGCAGAGGTGCACTGCTTTCAGTCTGCAGCTACTTCTAGAAAAAAAAAAAAGGTCCAGGTCACAATGCTGGTTAGCAAAGACAATGTGGGTGACATCAGGATCCTCTGATGCATACATATGTATTTATAGCTTCTATGGGGAGGCATCATCGGTGGCAGTATTGTGTCATACAGTTCCAGCTAACCTGAAATTATTAGGAAACCTTTTTTCTACATCGTATTTGCATCACCATGTTACCGCTATTGTTGGTTCTTCTGATCATGTGCACTCTTTCACTCTAAAGAGGAATTATGGGTCCTTAGGGAAAGAAACCCACTCAGTTTTATGTTCTGAAAAGTGGTATGAATTGTAGGCAGGTGCCAAATCTATCAGCTTTCCTCAACTTATTGTCCTCTTGACATATTGAGACAAAGGGACAATCCATGGCTGAAGGCTAAGGATTAGAAGAGTTGTAGTTTACCAGGAGGACAACAGCTTGGAGTGATGGTATCTAAATACTATATATAGTTCATACAAGCCACCAAAAGTAAAGCATTTTAACTGGCTCTCGTTTATAAGGAGGCACCCCAATTAAAGTTTACCCCAAAACTATGCCCAGCTATAAAAAAAAAAATACACCTACCCTGCTCATGCCCAGGCACTCCCTATTACTTAAGTCTGGTTAGTAGAAAAAGAAAGAGGAAAAGAAGAATTTTTATTAGTATGCCTTTGCAAGTGATCTCAGATAGGCCTTCTCTCCCACTCAGACCTTTCTACACGGTCCCCCTGCCTTGTCAGTAACAGCAACAGTGGTAACAGAGTTTGAAGGGACCTTCGAGGTCATCTAGTCCAACCCCTTGCTCCCGCAAGAGACCTATTCAATTTCTGATAGGCGGCTGTCCAGTCTCTTCTGAAAAGCCTGCAGCGCTGGGGGAAGCGGACACCCCCCCTATTTTCGAAGGCAATTTGTCCCACTCCTATTTCCCCTCTTTTCTTGTTCCTCCAACGCTCCGGGCTAAAGCCGAGATTCTCCCAAGAAGCGTTTTGATTTTGCAGCGAGCCAGCGAAAGAGTTAAAGCGCCACATTTCCCAGCCAGCGCTCGAGCAGCCCGGGCGGGGTGGGGCCGCTCCAAAGGAAAAAACGCTTTGAATGCGAGCGAGGAGGGAACGAGCGCGAACTCCCATCGGGCGCGGGGGAGGGAGGGAGGGAGGGAAGGAAAGAAGGAACTCAACACTCAAAAACTCCATCCCCAGGTATTCCCCCTGCGACGCGGCTGCGAGCCTGCACCCGCTGGGCGTGTGTGTGTGTATAAATATGCATCGAAGGCTTTTGCTTTTCCAAGTTGTAAACACCCGCGATGAGTGCCAAGGGGGGAAAAAAAAAAGAGCGAGAGAGAGAGAGAGAGAGAGGAGAGCGGGCAAGGAGGAAAGCGATTTGGCAGCTGCTCAAAGAGGAAAAAAAGGGAGCGCAAGGAGGATCCGCTGGGGACACCCTTTGGTGTTTGACAGATCTCTCCGACACCGCCGCCTCCACTTCCAGATTTTCCGGAGCGTCTGAAAATAAAGGTATCGCTTCGTCTAATCCGCCCACCCCCACCCCCACGCCAGACTGACTGGTCTGCCCCGCTTTGGGATCTGGTTGCATCTGATGGTGGAATGGAAGGCGAATTTCAAGATCGCGGCATTGGCGCGCGCGCATTTTAGCACAACTCCCTCCCCCCCCCCCCGAAAAAAGAAAAAGGAGGAGGGAACGAAAGTTAAAATCGGTCCACAGCTGTCTGGCTTATAAAGGATGAATGAACATCATCCCCTCCTGTTCCTCTCCCAACTTTCAAGTTAAACACAGTCTCCCTCAGATAGCCATTCTCCTCTATGATTTCTGGTCCGTTCCCTTGTACACACGCGCGCGTACTCAGGCCCTTTATGTAAAAAGAGAGAGAGAATGAAAAGAAACTTCAAAGTTTCCTCCTCATCTGGCGTTCATAAGGAGCTTCCAAGTCAAGACAAAGAGCCACAAAACTGAAGGTTCCCGAGAAAGTGAAAACTCTCCCGAGATCAGAAGCCGAAGAAAGGCGGCGGCTACAAATGTTCCCGAGAGACAACCACGCATGTCCTCCTCCCGTCAAAAGACCGAGGGGTGGGGTTTGGGCAGCGAGGGAATGGCTTGGTTCCTCGTATCCCTCTTCCCCAAGCTCGTATCCCCCCTCTTTTGCAACTCTGGACTTCCAAAGCAGGAAATCAAAAGTTGGAAAATTAGGTTCGAATCCACCACGCAATTCCGCCTACGCGGCAAACAGCGCCCCCTAGCAGGATGCCCCCTCAGCTCCACTCGTGCTCAAGGCCCACGAGAGATTTTTGTTCGAATCCACTGCTCTACATTTACAACACCACCCGCGTCGACGCTCGTCGGAAAACGACCCATCGCCTCAATTCATGCCTCCCCTTCCGCCGCGCGCGCCCCCCCCCCCCCCCCCCATGTATCTACCGGCATTAGTGCCCATCGGCGACAATCCACCTACATTGCAGGCTGGCCGGTTGGGGCCACCCGAAAGGATCCAATCCCAAGGAAAACGGACTGATGCTCGATTTCCGCAGCATGCAAGCGCTCCGGTTAGTAACATCGTAGAGCTTTCGCGGCGCGACGGCGAATGCCTCCATGCAGTCGTACATCTTTCCCCTCCGGAATCCGCTTCCAGTGGAAATAGGCGAGGGAGAAGGAAGATACGGTGGCGAAAATATGGATGATGGTGGTGGTGGTGGTGGTGGTGATGATGATGATGATGCTACTAAGAGTGAGTTTGTGCTGGTGATCCAGGAAGAAAAGGAAATGTTCGCCTCCCTCCCGGAGAGGCAGCGGGAGGGGGGAAGAGGAGGAATAACTCGGGCCTCTGTCAAACGAGCCCGCTCCCGCTCACACGCCACCTTCTCTGCGTCCCGCGTGTAATACACATCCCGCATGAAGTTGGGAGCTGAGAAGTCCAGCCTTTCCGATCGCTCCAGCTTGCTCGCTGAAGAAGCTATTACCTTGCCGCGAAAGCGGCTAAGGACTCCCCAATTGGTGGGTGTGGCTTGGGAGCGAAAGGGGCTGGACCCTGTGGGACGGATGCACAAAATCTGACTACACACAACAGTCACATGCGGGGGCACAACACGCCGAGCAGGACCTAGGAAACGCGCCCAAACAGTGATTTGGCAAGCGCGCAACAAGGAACAATAGGCAAACGCGCGCGCACACGTAGGCAGGGCTGTTGTTGGCTGCCGTGTGCGGGGGTTTGGTTGGGTTTATTTTGTTTTTCCTCCTTTCGGCTGCTGCTTCTCTTTCCCAAGCCGCACCCACGATGGCACTCAGAATGCAGCAAGCAGAAGAAGATTGCGAAGTTTTAGCAAACGTACCACAGCTGATTACGCGTGTTTACTCGGAAGAGAGTGCGGCGAAATTGAAGGCTGGGTAAACACGCGTGCATTTGAGAGGGAAGGTTGACAAGAGTGCCCACCGCGGAACACCACATTTTATGATCCGAGAGGAGACGGCCCTATCATTAGTCTGAGTTTAGTAAACCTATAAAACAAACCGATTTAGGGATAAGGTAGAGAGGTGGTGGAAGTGGTGGATTAAGTGCGGCATGATACAGCCTGGCCTGACCTCCCAAATTAGCTCCCTATTTCCATTGTGCTGGAAGGTGCTGCCCGCTCCCATGATGAAGGTTGAGTAACTTTGAAAGTTGATCCCAGGGAAGTTATCGCCCTGCTACAAATAGCTGCTTCTTGTAAGCCTGCTTCTGCCAGCAAAATGCATCGACTGTAAAAGGGCTCACAATTCTGTATTCACTGTGAGGGAATGGCTTGAATAGAAGACCTAAGCCTGCCCTGAAAGGCGAGAGGGAAAATAGGTACTTTTCCTTTGTAATCCCCTAAGAAGCTTGGCAAAAGTTATGAGAATTAATACAGGAAACTGCACTAAAGTCCACATAGAATAAATACAAGGTAACCCATCAGCAACCCAAAATTGGGAATAGGTGGTACAAGTACTCTGTTGGTGGCCATTTGAAGTTACAAAGGCACTGAAAAAAGTGTCTTATGAACACTTTTCACACTGCAGCATCCCCATGGTCACATGATCAAAATTCAGAGGCTTGGTAACTGGTTCGTATTATGTGGATTTTGTATACATAATCAGAATAGTTAAAAAGATAAATAATTCCACATTGCAAATGCATGGGGGTGCAGTGTCCCAGTGATCACCTGTTGTGGGCTCCTGACAAGCAAAGTCAAAGGTGAAGCCAGATTCACTTAACAACTGCAGTGAGTGACTTAACTGTGCAAAAAAGGGTGTAAAATGGGGCGAATTTTACTTAATAACTGTATCATTCAGCACTGTAAATGATGGGCTCCATTGTCATAAGCCAAGGACTACCTATAATAGTCGTGGAATATATTTGTAGGAAGGGGCTTTGGATCTATCCCATGCATTGCTGTAATCAACTTTTAAATGGGATTACTGCAAGTAATACGGAGCATTCAGCAGAGTGCTTGAAATGATGTTAATTCTGCTCATTGTGCCTTCATTACTGTCATGGAGAACTTCAGCAGATACAGTAAATTCCTCATGGCCAAATCACAGCATAGAAAACAGTTTCTTCTCTTCCCATGTCCACGTAGTTATGTAGAACAGGAATTTAGCTGTGAAATCCAACACTTAATTCCAAAATCAAGGGATGGGATTTTGGAAAGCTACCCAAATAATTTGTCTTCTGTGCATATAAAAATAAAACAAACCAACTCTGAATTCAAAACATATCTTGCTGCTTTTGTACGCATAATCAGAATAGTTAAAAAGATAAATAATTCCACATTGCAAATGCATATTTTATTCACTTAAAATAACTTTAGTGTGTACAATATCTGGGCAAGCATAGGAATCTGAATTTAATTAATAGAACTATAAACAGTGTGATATTGATTTATAATAGAACTATAACAGTGTGATATTGATACATTCCCATGTCACTGAACAAAGCAGATTCATTCTTTACCACATTCAGATGTACAGTCTCCCCCATCCCCCCCTTTTTTCTCTCCTCTCTCCTTTAAATCTCTTTAAGAAATTTTGTAGTGGAGCAGTATATATTCACAGAGCTATAAGCTGGCCATGTGGCAAGTGAACTAACTGGAGTAATCACTTTTTCACATGCAAAATCCCTTCTGGATTTAATTTGTCCCTACAAATGGGACCAGGGCTTGATATGCAGAAATCAACAAATGAAACATTTCAAAATGAGTGACTCTAGCATCCACCTATTGATACATAACTCCTGTTGCCCCCAATAAAGCATTTCCACCCTGATTCATGCATTATGCACAATTGGTTATAGGGAGAGTGGTGCAATGGATAAAATTATGGACTAGGAGGCTCGGGTTCAACTCCATCCTCAGCAGTGGAAAGTTATCAAGTCAATTAATCTCTCAGCCCAAGGCACCACACAGGATTCCTATGAAGAAAATGAAATGCTATGTACACTGCTTCAGGCTGCTGGAAGAAAGGTGGGGTAATGAGGTAAAAAAACGTTTTTGATAATGTCCCTCATTCAAGACTTCTCTGTAAGCCTAACAGTCATGGAAAAGAGGGAGAGGGGGTGTCTCATGTGGATAAGCTACTGGCTAAAGGATACAAAACAAGGGGTAGGGGTGAATGGACCTTGCTCACGAAGGATGGAATTAATGGAGCCTTCCTAGGATTGGTGCTTCTTAAGACACTTGTAGATGATTTGGATTTCGGTGAGACAAGTGGAATAGTCACATTGGCTGGTGACATTCAATTGTTCAGAGTGGCAAAAATAATAAAGAGACTGCAAAAAGCCCACCAGAGAAATGGGCATCAAAATGTGAAATGTCATTTGACATGAGCACGTGGAAAGTAGTGAATGTCAGTGCCAAAAATCTTTATAGCAACTACTGTGATCAGAGCTAGCAGTGATTGATGAGAAAAGAGACCTTGGAGGAATGGTAAACAATTGATTGAAGATATGGACACTGTATATGTCCAGTTCCATGGAAAAGGCCAACAGCATATTAGGGATGATAAGGATTGAAAAAGGGATGCCAATATTATAATGCTCTTACATAAATCAATGATGCAAGTGCATCAGGAACATTATATGCACTTCTGCCACTGTACCTCAAAAAGGATATAGCGGAGCTAGAAAAGGAAAAGGAAAGGAAAAGGAGGACAACTAAGATGATTGCGGGGCTGAAGCAACTTTGCTATGAGGAAATCTTGCCACATATTTGGTTTTTAAAGTTTTGTAGTCTAGAAAGGGGGCAATCAAGAGGGGATATGATAGAGGCCTATAAAAATATGTGTGGTGTTGATAAAGGAGAATAAGCTGTTTTCCCTTTCCCAAAATATAGTACCAGAGATTATCCAATGAAACAGAAGGAAAAAAGAAACAGGACAGCCAAAAGAAAATATTTTTGTAGCCAAAATTTGGAATTTGCTACCACAAGATGTGCTACTGATTACCAGCTTAGCTGGCTTCAAAAAAGAATTGGACCAATTCATGGAAGTCATGGGAAGTGTGACAGCCTCTGAAGGCCATCTATGGGAGATAGTGGGCTTCCTTGTACAGTTGGTTGGCCGCTGTGAGAACAGATATCTAATCCAGCAGAGCACTACAAACAAGCAATAAGCAAATACATGGCTTAGTTAGCTATGACACAATTGGCTAGGTTCATAGAACATATTGAACCATAAACCATGAATTACAAACTACAACAACCAGTTTACACAAGCAAAAAACAAATACCCACATCATGGTTTAGGGCATAATCTCTGTCTCTTTCTCCCCAGCACCTGCAAAAATGGTAATAAATATTGTTGAGACAAATATTATTATATTTAACATGCAGACTATTGAAAGGTCTTTCATCACATAAAAGGAAGTAAATTTAATTAAGTAAACTCGTGTTAGTCACATATATTAATCATTAATAATGTATCCTCTCAAGCTTTTTTCAGCCCCGAGTCTACAAATATGACCCTCAATGGACAAACATTTTGTTTTGACCCTTATTTTTTTCTGCAAATATCATTCAAAATTTCATGCCAGTCTTGATCAAGTAAATGATGTGACAAACAGAACCATATGGAATAAGAACTTCGAAACTATCTGAGCAGCTAAACGGGATGCATGGGTTCTCAATGGATCTGGGAACTTTCTTCAGCAACAATCTTGAACAAAACTCAGTTTCATTGTATCAAAATATAAGTTTGCAAAGATAGAAATATGCAGCCCTAAGTTATTTGGCAGCCAGGTTATCTTCATTGAGAAGAGAGTGGGAAATATTCTTAGGTTATTGACTGGCTGATAAATAACCATGGGCACGTACTTCTTACCTTTCCTTATAAAACACTGGCACATTCCCTAGAATATCTTATCATGAAGGATGAAGTTTACCCACAGTGGCTTTGTGGCCATTTTAACAGAAAAAAATAGAAATTGTTTTAGAATGTGAAAGATTGATTTAAGATTCTTTAAATTTTTGATGAGATGAATCCCACTGAAGGATGCAAACTGCAAATGCGCAGTGGGGATGGGTCAAATTGTCCATAAGATCAACCTGAGCCAGCTGTCAATTATTTGACTTTAGATACATTCTATAGAGACTTAGTTCTCTGGAGAAGGCTCTGATGCTGAAAAAGATGGAAGGAAAGAGAAGAAGAGGACGACCAGCAGCAAGTCCACAGTCAGTTGCAGTGTTGATGGATGCATCCTTGGGAGACCCAAAGGATTAGCCCAGGGACAGATCCTCCTGGAGAAAATCAGCCTATGCGGCTGGCACATAATCAGTCAGTCAGCGATCACGCCTCCCTCTCTGGAATTTATTAGTTGTGCAATGAAATAACCCAACCACTAAATCTGAGCATAGCAAGGCAGCTCAATTCTCAATCTGGTGCAGTTGTGGGGCACTTGTGTTCTCCTGCTTTAAGACACACGTCTACAGCCACTTTAGTTAATCC